TTCAAAATCCAGGCTGGAATCACCATGTGCGTTGTTAACTTGTCTTCATCGGCAACAAAACGACAAATACCAACTCTAAACAGTATCTTGAAGAGAAGGGCAATACACAGGACACGGAGAGCTGAACATCACTGCTGTGCATCGAACGAATACTGGACGGGCTCGCAATGTTCTACTTGTCCCTCTGGTTCTAGTCAACAGCTACTTGGCTATTATTGTCAGTAAACAAATTAATATTAATTCAGTTCAAAAAACTTTTCTTCATTATTAAAATTAGTCAGTGTTGATTTTTTTTTTTTTTTTTCGAGTTTTACCCCATGCTGCTGTCATCTCCCTTAATACGGGAACATTGGCAATGCATTTTCGCGCGAAGACTGAAGAACATGGAATACTCAACATTTTACGATGTCTCTATTCTCAAAATTTGAAAATTCGCCATCCAACAATGGATAGAAGCAACATTTTATGTCCGGTCCTAAACGTGTCCGTATAACACGCTCAGGCGTTGAGGATGATCTGAAACGGTCTTCGAGAAAAATATTTTTTGAAAAATATAATTGATTTGGTCCATTCTGGCACATATTTCGGGGCAAAAAACTTTAAAGATGGGTTCCCTTATTTTCATTTATGAAAATGAAAATGCAAATACTTATATGAATAGAAAGTAGAGGTGTTCTAATGACTTAAAAAATACCAGTTTGTCTCACATGTCCATAATTAATTCATAATTAGCTAAATTAGAAGAGAATTACCAGCAGAATTTCAATGAGTGACCGATCAAGAAAGGTCAAAAAGTCTTTTTTTGTTTATCCAGTACATATATGGACATTGGTTAAAACTCTTAATTGTAGGCAATATGATTAAGAATACGTGTTAAATAGTTTTCTTAATTTGACACTAAAAAATAAGGAAACTCATCTTTAAATATCATATTTCTAAATGTGTAAGAAGTGGAGGTGCAAATGGGTTGAAAACCATATTTTCTGGTCCCCTACTGACGCCACCAGTGGCAAATAGAGTCGATGAATTTTAATAATCTTGGACACAAGAAGAAAACTGTGTCATTGTCAGTCACAAGTTATTATTTATATACATGTATTTGGAGTCCACTCCATACAGTATCTCAGTAGGCTTAACACTTTATACATATATACACCACACTAGCAGGGGCGGAGATCCATTGATAAAGTTGGTAGAGACCAGCTGTTTAGAGAATTAGTCCTTTATTCCCATTCGAGTCTATGGAGCCGAAGGCGTCCTCTTGAGAGCAACAAGGGCACCCCAGTCGAGGTAAAAGCGGCCTTTCCACAAAAATTTTGAATATTGGATCACCGGAAACGATGAATTAGATACTAGTAACTAGGGCCTACCATACATTTTGATAATCATAATATTATGATATTATTAGCCACAAACAGTAGTGGGGACCAACAAATACGTGTCCTCACAAAGTCCCCACCACTGAGAAAAGTGGCGAGGACCTGTCCCTGTGTACCGCTATCTGTGCCCATGCACACTCGACAATCCTCGGCAGTTCTCGTAAAGCTGAATCGGTCTCGGTAATGAATGGTAAATTTTGTGTCTTGCTTCCGGCGTTTCACAATTATTTGTGATAGTAATATTGCGACATGAATATAGTTCCTAACTCAAGAGCCTTTAGTTAGGTGATAATTCTGACACTTATTTATTTACCAAATGGTACATTTGATAATCATTTTGGATTCAAATCTCGTCGTAATCGATTTTTTACGATGGCCTGTACTCAACGGGAACGTCTCCAGCACAATCTGAAACTGGTGAAGTATTTCAGCTGTGTAAACCAGGATCAACCTGTTAGAAGTTGCGTCCCCTGATTCGATATCTTCTAGTATAAACTGAACGATTCCTGCAGATGGAAAAATAAGTAACCAACAGACAGTAGAAAATCATAAGAATGTCATTCGGCTCAACTTTGAATTGGGAAGGGCACATAACTCTGTCTGAAGATTGATTTTGAATGGCGAGAATAGCGTTGTGATTTGCACGTAGTCAAATTAGCAAGACGGAATACATACCTTTGTCATGGCAACTAATGTATTCTTGAAGTTTTTATAAGTTACAGTGCAGGCCCGTAGCCAGTAGCATTTGCATAGATAGAGACTGATTTCAGCTTCAATAGATCTTATTCACGCGTCGGCCATATTGAATCCAGAACGAGGCTCATAAGTCACTGCAGTAAAATCACCAAATGGCTTCCCCAATCCCACTGACTCAAAACTAATAATATTTTACATCTTACCTCCACACATTTTGGGAAATGACAGTTTTAAGCCAATTTGCTCGCTGATCAGTGGCGAGCCAAAGGTGGGCAGAGGGGTCCCGAAGACATGTTTTTCGTGCAAAAATCTCATAACTAGGTTAGAAATTCGGGCAACCTCAGATATTTCGCCCCATTGCAATGGGTTCCAGGGTTGGGGCACTGCCCCACCCCCTTTTACATGCCTGATAGTAACCTAAGTCATATCCCGGAAATTGGGCCATTTGTTTAGTTTCTAATAATGACTGGGTAGCTTGAAAGACTGATGGGAATTCATGGGTCATTGACACAATTAGTATTTACACATGTTCCATTGGTGTTGAATGCGACATTTTATTTTCATTTTTTGTATCAAAAATGTATATAATTTTAATAAAATTTACAAAGTTATTTTAGTTGCTGCGACTTATGCTTGCTGAACCAAAAAGATTATGAATTAGAATTTATTTAAGAATTTTTTAAGACTCTCGTTTGAACGAGATTACACGCATGCATTCGGCCATATTTGTTTAGATTCTTGACGTGACCGACTCGTGTGTGACTGTATCAAATATTTATACAGTTTATGCACAATCCAACCAGTGATGGCCTCGACAAATTACAAAATCGCAAGCTTCGTGCGTTTGTTTGTAGTGCTGGTAAGTCTATGCATTCATTGGAATGTCTATTTTGCGAATTTTGGGGGAATTTCTGTTCCAATTCCTGTTTGTTTTGAGTTTGACAGCCGGCAGCCGTTCATTCGTCAAGAAGTTATCTTCTCGATTACCAAGCCTGAAAGCTTATAGTTTTGCATTTGCTTGTGGATTTCAAATAAATTCATAGATAAATT